TGACAGACAAAGGTTAATGTTGTTAAGATGTGAAATGCCCCTCTAAACATCAACGGGAAAACCACTTAAGCCCTACTTGATGAATATAGGAAGGACTTCATAAAAACAGTTGACTAAAGAAGATACACATTTAACAATGACTTTCACAGCAGCCTCAGAGCTAATATTTATTAGGTATTTGATAGTTCCAGGCGTTTTACATGTTTATTCTTAATCTGCCCAATTCTTTGTCCCTATTTTACAATTTGAGAAACAGCCATAGAGATGTTAAGTAAATGTTAAATAAATAACCTACAGGTTGAGTATATCCATAGTGGGAAATCCACAGTGCTCCCCTGAGTTTTTCCTTTGAGTATAATTTTGATGCTCAAAAAGCTTTGAGTTTTATAGCATTTTGGATTTCAGATTTTCAGATTAGGGATACTCAATCTGTAGCTAAGAAGTGATGAACCAGCATGTGAAAATTTTACTCCAGGGACATAAAATTAAAGCTCCTAAGGGTACGTGAATGTGTGTGCTTATGTATAATTTAAATTGTATCTATGTGTATATTAGTTTCTTCAGGCTGCCTAACAAAGTACCTCAAACATGGTGTCTTCAAGTGACAGAAGGCTCTTTAAGTTCTGGAGGGCTGGAAGTTAAGGTGTCAGCAGGGTCGTGGTCTCTCTAAAGGTTCCAAGAAAGAATCTTTCCTTGCTTCTTCCTAGTTTCTGCTCATTCCTAGCAGTCCGTGGCTTGCAGTTACATCACTCCAATTTTTGCCTTCACCTTCAAATGACTTATTCTGTCTCCTCTCTGTGTCTGTCTCTTTTTGTGAGGACACCAGGGATTGGATTCAGGGCTCACTTTAATTAGGTATGACCTGATCTTAACTTGATTACATCTATAAAGACTCTATTTCCAAATAAGGTCACATTCTAAGGTTCTGGGTGGACATGAATTTCAGGAGACACCCTTCAACCCAGTAGAATCCATTCTCTGGCCCCCTGCAAAATTTATATCCATCTAACATACAAAGTAAATTCACCCCATCCCAGCATCAGCAATTCTCAGCCCATTCCAGCATTAGCTCTAAATTTCATGTAAGTGTTAATATCATCAACCCAAAAAGTGGCAAAGTCTCATTATCTCAGTCATCTAAATCAGCTATGTGTGAAACTGGAGTATGATCCTTCTTGGGGCAAAATTCCTCTCCATGGGTGGACTTGTGAAAGCGGAAAACAAGTCTTCTAAAATACAATGGTAGGAGAGGCATAGGATAGACATTCCCATTCCAAAAAGAAGTTTGAAGTAAAAAGGATCATGGTTCTCAAACATGTTCCAAACCCAGCAGAGTAAATTCATTAGGTTTCAAAGCCCAAAAATAAAAGGCTTCTTGCTCTGTCCTGTTGGTCATCGTCTTCATCCTCTGGAGTTCTTCCTAAAAGGATAACATTCACAGCCCAGTAGTTCTAGCTCTATCAGCCTGTTTCTTGCCTCTGTGTGTTAATACCTATATGTGTTGGTAAACAGTGTAAGAGCAACTGAAGTTTAGGACTGCCTAAATGGTGAGTCTCAAACCTGGATTGTCGTATTTCAGTCTAGTGCTTTTTCTGCTGTACTTTACGAATTGAGGGCTTAAATATAAGTACATCCTTTGATAGTAACATGCAAGAGGCTTTGTGCATGTAGTTTGTGAAACCTATATTGGCAGCTCAGATATTTTTGTGTTATTCTAGGTTTGTGTCTGGATAAGTTCCTGGACAAATGAGCTGATAAGTCAAGCATTACAGCGTATACATACTAACTCATATCTTAGAAGACTGTCACTTCTCATAGAAACAAAATTATATATAATTCTATTATATACAGTTCAGTACTTAGAAAGTGAAACTATTGGAATTTATAATATGATTTGTTATCTGAGGCTAAATTTTGGTACTTTGAAGCAAGCACATAGTTGGGCATTGCTTAACTCCCTTCCACGTGCCTCAAAAATGGCCAGCCCATTTACCTAAAGGCTGAAGTACTGTTATATATACATATTTATGTATACATATTGGCAACCTTGTTTTGGAGAGGGATTAATGTGGGTAGGCCCTGAGGTTCTGGTACTACTAGAATTTTTTTTCATAGGCCAGCGATAGTTGCTCAAGGCATTAGATCTAAATGATTTTGTTGTATGTTACTACTGTGTTTAAAATAAAACAGTTTCTGTGTGGTCTTAATTAGTTAATCGTTGCACAATACAATATCTAACACTGCTCTCCTTAATGGTCAAACTATAAGATGGAGGATCAGGTTTTTCTCAGCTTGACTGATGATTCTCTGTGTATGTAATGGTAGTATTAGAACTTGCCAACATGTATGTCCAGTAATTGTGCTGTCTTCAAATAGCTTAAGGGACAAATTCACTGTTCTTCCTACCAATTTTTCTTTATTCCAGTTTCTGAGGTAAACTGTATTTAACACTTAACAGAGTATATGCCCACTGTATATCCACCATAATGCCACAGTGTGGCGCTGCTGTGCTTTGGCCGAATATTTACAAAATCACCTTTTCCTATTGCTGTCAAATTTTTATTTTGTGGTCTAAATAAGATGCTCTAAAGTATATGAAAATGCACTCATATCGGTATTTCTTGACTGAACATAATGAGTTATGTGATTGCTTTCTAGTGATTGTGCCAGATTGATTGCCTTTTATGTTAATCAGTTTTTTAATAGCATGCTTATTTAAATTTTTTTCCTTGATTGCCCCATCTTATTTAGTTAAAAATCAGAAGGCTTCTTGGAGGTTATAAAAATAAAATTTGAAGAAAGCAGCAAGCAAAATGACACTATAGATGACAAAATGCGTATCTTTTTAAATGCAGATTTTTTGGACATTAATCTGTTACAACTACAGTTTCACTCAAAATACATAATGCAGTCTTCCAAACCAAAGATAGTTTGTTCCTCCCATTATTGTTACATATGCAGTTTGTGCCAAAATCCATTCAACAGGAAACAGTTTATGATTTTTGTAGATATAGTGTCCCCAATGTTTAAAATTTCCAGATTTATGTTAGTTACTTCAGAAGCTTTCTGTCTTTACTTTCTTTAAGGTGTTCTTTAAGATGTTATTTATCAAGCCAGTATGTACTATTGATGCATTGAACAAAACAGTTTTTATTGAGGGGCTTCTATTAATGTTAGTCTCAGGAAGGTGTTGAGGAGTAAACACCAAACAATCAAAGGGATCCATGGCCGCAAAAGGGGTAAGAATTTCTTGCCATTGAACTCTTAAGATCACAATTTAATATCTCAGTGCCTGAAAATGAATGAGGATCCTTATTTTGATCCATAATACCACATATCAGCAACAAGATCAGCAGAAATACTTCCTGATGAACTAAGAGGCGACTATTTTGACTCTTGAAGCGGAGGTACTGGGAGAATCATAAATATTTCGTGAGAGAACCAATTTTTAATATATTCTACCCTTGAGATGAATGCGGGAAAGGTATTTGGTTACTGCAGGAGAAACTAAACCGACTATGAAGATAAGGACCATGTCTGTTTTGCTCATCATGTGGTTCGTGGTACCTAGCACTTGTATGCTTTTAGTGGAATTCTAATTGTTGAATTATCATAGAGAGAATTAGTGATTAAATGCCAGTGAAGTATTAAGAAGGGGACATTCAACATCTTCAACATCTTTTTTCTCCACATATTTATTTACATAAGAAATGCCCATAGAGAGTGTTGTATCAGCTATCTCTTTAAGAATTGTGTTAATCATTTCAGAATGTCAAATTTTGGAGTTGGTTATTTTAGAAGTGAGAATTTGAGTAAGCCCATATTAACAGAATCCTCAAAGGGATTACCTTCAAAAGGTTTTCTGGAAAATAATGTAATAATGAACTAAGGATACAGGGCAGTTGAATATTTAGGAAGTAATTTACCATATAATAGTTAACATTCATGTATACACTTAGTAAATGTTTGTGGTTCACCTACCTCTGATAGGCCCATTAGGCTGTAAGTATAAAAGGCAAGAACAGTGATCAATTTGTTTTTAATATTAGTTGAATACATATTTGTGTAAATATTTATACATATTATGCATATTTATATAAAATGAATGATGGTAGAAAGTTTGTGCTTGGTGGTAAAGACACACAAACACATAATTTTAATGTTTGGGAAAATTCAATACTAGAGACCTACCATGAATTTTAACATGTATTTTACCCCTTAGTTCTGGGAATGAGATCCTTTGGGTTGTATCTTTTGTTATTTATTTTTCGAATGCTATGTAATATTTTGTTATCTATGAAATAGTGGCACTAAAGATATGTTTCAAGTTTTTTTAAATGAGCTTATTTTGCAACTGCAACCATGAAAGAATAATGAAAATCTTTTATTTGAAGAAGTCATATTAGAAAACAAGTTGGAAAACATTTAAAGAAGGTAAGTATTAATTTTTTAGCCGTGGCAATAATGTAGAATAAAAGAACAGTTTTCAGCTTTCTGCTAATTTTCCAAAACTTGTGGTAAAATAATTATTCCTTTTTTTTCTCTGTTACGTAACAAAATAAAACTTTAGAATAATATGGTTCTACTTTAGGAGTATTTTAATTGGGCTTCTGATAAATACCCTTTTATATAAGAAATTTCCTGTTATTTAAGATTTATAAGCGCTTTGGCTGCCAAATTGTATCAAAACTTTTTGGGGCATATATTGATGCAACCATATGGTTTTCCTGCTTAAGTAATAATTTATAGAATATCACCAATTCCTGTTAAACTACTCATATTTCTGGGCTAACTACTGCTTGTCATAGTGTGTTTACTGTTTTAATTTTCAAGTTGTTTTGACTTGCTGAGATTTTGTTTAGGATTATTTTAAATGTATTCAAAAGAATGGTTGCCCTTTAGATCTTTGGGGGGTGCTGTCTTGAACAGTTTTAGTAATAGAGCAACTTTTTATTTTTTAATAGAACTGCTATTTAATTTCTTATTTCCTTAACTGACAGGTCGTGGTTCAATTCCAGAATTCTTTCATATTATGAAACGAAAGTTTACCAACAAAGAATGGGAAACAATCAGAAGCTTTAAGGATGAATGGACTCAGCTGGATATGTTTTATAGGAATTGGGTATAATTCTTTCTAATTTTTAAAGCAAAAGTCTATAATGATTCCATTATCTTCATTTAAAATCAGAGTCCTTGGTTACCCAGTAGTGTTGAAACAGTAGATTGCTTGAGAATGTTATGGTTTTTATGCATATATTACATTATAATGACATTTCATTTTAAGAAAATTTAACCTATATGTAATGCTCAGTTAGAAAGTACCTAAAGCTAAAACAAAACATTATGATTTATAAATAATGTTTTCTGTCATAAAGGAACTAATACACATGAAGTCTTATGTAACAAACACTGATATATATACTACTACATGCCAGAAGACATTACTTCAAGCTCTTTATAAGTTAGTTAGTTTAATATACATAACATCCCTATGAGGAAGGTATTGTTATCATGATCGCAGGTTACGTACAAGGGGAAACAGGCACAGAGAGCTTAAATGATTTGCCCTAAGATCATGTGGATGGTTTGTTTTCATGCTGTAAGGGTTTTTTTTAAAAAAAACTTAGAGCCATATAGCTGTAATGTAGCATAGCATTGAAACTCCCTATTTGTTGGGCCTGTAGATTCTATGAAAAATTTTTGTACACTGAATTCTAAGAGAAAATGTCTTTCTGTATCTTAGGCACTTAAAGAAAGCTTCATAAAAGCCATTGGTGTTGGACTAGGATTTGAATTGCAGCGGCTTGAATTTGATCTATCTCCATTAAACTTGGATATAGGCCAAGTTTATAAAGAAACACGTTTGTTCCTGGATGGAGAGGAAGAAAAAGAATGGGCATTTGAGGTAAGAAATTTATTAGAATTGTTATAACTAAGAATTTCTATTTTTTATGCGTGTATGTATGATTGATTTGGGTAGGCTAGTCACTGAATGTGGACGCAACTGAATCCAGTCCTGCTGCTCTGAAAGTGAAATCAGGGCTACTATGAGAGCATGTAACATTTATGCTAATACTTGAAAGATGTTGAAAGATGAGTCGTTGTGAGTTCAGAATGGAAAAAGAAAAGAGGCTCTGAAAAGGAGCTTTGCATGTATGAACAGCCAAAAGCAGCCACTTTGGCTGGGCCATAATGAGGGTATTTAAGAGAGATTCCAGATCAGGCTGGTAGATCCTGCAAGGTATTGATCAAGTTAAGTATTTTGGTCTCTTACTGAATTTTGTTTCTGTCACTAGCAGTTCCTGGTTGCTAGTGAGAGAAGCCAACACACACTAATTTAAGCCAAAAAACCCCCCAAAACAGTATTATAGGTTACTAGAGTTATTCAGCAGCTGTCCCCAGTATTAGCTAGAATTAGGGGACGAAATATTCAGACCTCTTTTTGTCTCCTACTTTTGCCTTTCTCTACATTTTGGCTTCAGTTTTCTCCCACCCATGTTTCTCATTCTATACACCAGCTTTCTCAGCCTCTCTGGTCTACATGACAGAAAACATGACTCTTGCATGTAACATACTGTTGTTGCATGTAACAATTTACGGTTTACAACAATTTACAGTTTAAAACCCCAAACAAACTGGTAAACTCACTTTCTGTTCCAAGTCCAAAAATCCTAGAGAAGGGACTCCCTGACCTAGCTTGGGCTAGTTGTTTATTTCCAGACCGGTCATTATACTGTGATTGGTCCTGCTTGTGTCCAGCAAATGGGCTGTAGAGCAGTTCTCTGACTTAGAAGATAATCTGTTGTGATGCAGAATACTAGAAAATAAATGAGATGTTAAGTTTGAGATACCAAACATCTAAGTGAAGATGTCAGATAGGTGAATGGAATGGAGGGCTGGGCTAGAGGAAAAATATTATAATGGTTATAAGTATAACCATTATGTCAATGGTAGTTGAAACCATGGATTTGAAGTTGGAACTATGAGATTACCTAAGGAGCAACTATATATTGAATCTGTGAAGAGAGAAGTGCAAATTGAAGCCACAAGAAGTTAGAAGTATGGCCGAGAATAGAGCCCTGAGAATATAGATGGTCCCCAATTTATGATGGTTCAACTTTTTTTGACTTTATGACAGTATGAAAGTGATAATGCATTCAGTAGAATTCATATTTGCAGAACCCACACAACCGTTCCTTTTCTCATTTTCAGTACAGTATTCAATAAATTACATGAGATATTCAACATTTTATTATAAATGAGGCTTTGTGTTAGATGATTTCGCCCACTGTAGGCTGATGTAAGTATTCTGAGCACATTTAAGGTAGGCTATGCTATGCTATGATGTTTGGTGGGCTAGGTGTATTAAATGCATTTTCCATGTAACCATATTTTCTTACAGTGGGTTTATTGGGATATAACATCATTGTGAGTTGAGGAGCATCTATACTAATATTCAAAGGCTGTTTTGTGGAGGAGACTGATAAAGAATGACCAAAATGGTGTAACAGAGTAGCGTTGGTATCCAAGGACAGAAAGCATTTTGAAAAAGAGAGCTGGGTCAAAAACTGCTAGGGACTAGATGTGGTGGCTCATGCTTGTCATCCCAACACTTTGGGAGGCTGAGACACTGTCTCTACAAAAAATTTAAAAAATGAAATGTTCAAAACAGTACATCCATTAGTTAACATTCTTTAGTGTCCAACTATCAATTGTTAGTGTACATACACCTCTAATTATACATTAAGCATGATTCTTATTTACTGAAATATTCTATACATGTAAGAACTATATCTTACATGCTAGATTTCTGAAAAATTATTTTGGATATTTTTAAATTTGTACATTCCGGTTACTTTTTTCTTGTTTGTTTAAAGAGAAAACAGAAAAGGGCTACATAGCAGACTTACTTTGTGATAATTTTGACATAGTAAATCTTCTGACACTTAGTCTTATATTTTTCCTCTTTAAACATATCTTAAATTTATCCTTACTGAATTTCACTTTTTGCTGATTTGGGTACCTGAAGGTATGAAGATAGGAAGAAGAAGATAAAAAATGAAAGCTCCCTAAGTACTATTTCTAATTCTAGTTTCTTCTGACGTTTTATGGAAGAATGCTTTAGTAAAGTGGTTTTTCAGTGAAAAGTTTGTTCAGCTTTTAAGTGTTCATAATTTTTTCTGGTGACTGTCTCAATATATATTACATTTTAAAGCCTCCTTCCCCTTTGTCTCATATGTAGGGGAAAATAGAAAATTGCATATTGGTTATGTTTTATCTATAAATTTCCACCATGATTTTTCATACATGATAGTATGTAGTTAACTAAATGCTTACATACCAATGTTGCAACCTGATTTTTTTTTTTTTTTTAACCTTGTACTTTATTATACATAGTAACATCACCAGGGAAGGACAGATAGCTATCAAGTACCTCTAGATAGGGCACATCACCTATGTAGTATTCTGGTTGAGAATGCATAACCTAAATCCACTCATTAAGAAACATCAAACAAGCCCCAAATGAGCAAAATTTTATTAAGAAAAAGCAGATATGGGGGAATTTGTACTTTAAAATGTTAATGTCATAAAAAACGAAAGGCTGACAAGACGTGACAACTGAATGCGATACTTGTCCCTACTTGCCCATTACTGGGCTCCTGTTCTGAAGGAGGGATATGCCACAAAGGACATTTTTGGATTAATTCACAGAATTTGGAATATAGCTAATAAAGTATAGTTTCAATGTTAAACTTACTGAAGTTATTAACTGATGTGGTTATGTAAGAGAATGTGCCTACTAGGAAATACATGTTGAAGTATTTAAGAGTAAAGGCCCGCATGTATGTAACTTCTAAAGTGGTTTAGCGGAGATGGGGAAATATATATATGCATGTGTGTGAGCGTACATATATATATATAGAGAGAGAGAATGAGATTTAGAAAATGTAAATAAAACTACATCTAGGTTTGCATATTTTATAATCTATATTTATTTACCTTTTATCTTTCAGGAAAGCAAAATAGATGAGCACCATTTTGTTGCAGTAGCTCTTAGGAAACCCGATGGATCTAGACATCAGGATGTAAGATTTTCGGATTTCTCTTTTTCTTAAATAGCATGAATCAATGTTAAGTTTGCTCTTTATTGATGGAAATCGTCATTTGCCTTATATCAGTTTAGAGAGTTTTGAGATTATAGATATAGTAATACTTTTTATTAGCAAATATTAAGATCACTAGGGATTTTGTAGAAACATTTTTAAAAAGCATTTGGGCGCAGTGGCTCACACCTGTAATCCCAGCACCTTGAGAGGCTGAGGCAGGTGGATCACCTGAGGTCAGGCGTTCCAGACCAGCCTGACCAACATGGAGAAACCCCATCTCTACTAAAAATACAAAATTAGCCAGGCATGGTGGCGGGTACCTGTAATCCCAGCTACTCAGGAGGCTGAGGCGGGAGAATCGCTTGAACCTGGGAGACAGAGGTTGCAGTGCACTGAGATTGCACCATTGCACTCCAGCCTGGGAAACAAGCGAAACTCTGTCTCAAAAAAAAAATAAAAATGTTACCCACTTCTTCACATTCATATATGCTGAAGCATTACAACAACAAACGTAATAAAAAATGTGGTAATACTGTCATACTACTCATATTTCCAATAGACATTCAAGATTATCTTAGTCATCTTAATGGTGGTTTATTTCTTGGTGAATTGGGGTTGTGTTGAATGTAAGAGTACCATGTTGAAGGTTGATGCATAATGGAATTACCTTGGGAATTGAATCCACTCCTCCTTTTAAAGTAATATCCTAAGTTATTCCCAAAGTTACAGTGTCAAACATATAAGAGCCCTTGTGTCATATTGTGGCATAATATCAGTTTCAGTTCTTCAGCCACAATGTTTTTATACTTTATCATCCGATTACCTGGTAAGCAAGCGGGAGAAAAACTTAGGGTCAAAGACGCTTAGTTTGCATATAATTGTGATTCTGCGGAAGTATTTATTTAAGGAAAACAGGTATGTTTTAATGAAAACTACATGCATACCATTATTTTTAGTAAATCAACATGAAAGAATGTAGCATGATCAATGTGTATGCATCGTTACTTCCACAAAAGTAGCTCAGGCAACACACCGTACCTTTGATAGATTAATCAAAGGATTAAGAATTCTCCATAGATTATCTTCCTTATAAAGGGATGGCACGTTAAAATTGACACCTGTTATCGGAAGATGTTCTAACCCAGGTTACTGGTCCTTCTGTTTTTAAATCTCAGCTTCATACTCCCTGCAAAAATACCTTTTGTTTTCGTAGAGCTTTATAATTGTTGAAACGTGCACATTCAGTACTTACTTTTTATTTCCCTGAATAGAGCCTATTTAGGCAACAGTGGCATATTGGGAAGACTAGAGTACAGTTCACAAACTTGGGTTCCAGGCCCACATCTACCATTTAACCTGTGTTTTGAGCTTGGACAAATTGTTTGAATTGTTTGCTCTTCCTGAGCCTCAGATTCCCCATCCATAAAACTGAGATAACCATATCACAACATAGCTATGAGACCAGTCATATAAAGTAAGTACTGGACCTTGTTAAAAGCGCTGTACAAAACCCAAGTACTGTTCATACTAGAATGTGCGGAATATTAAAGAGGGTCTACACTGGGTTCAGTTGTGAACAAGGACTCTATCTCAGAGAGTAAGATACAGTTTAAATTTAGTATTGAATAAATAATTTCCTAAAGAAGTATATATCTCTGTATAGTTATGGCAGTTTTATCCGACCCACCTTTTAGAGTAGTATTTCACAAAAGTTCACTTTCTCACTCACCTCTATGAAAACATCCTGACTGCTTGTTAAAATTACAGATTTTGGGATCCCTTCTAACTTATATGTACGGAATCACACTTTTAGAATGTGGGACCCAGTAAATCTACATGTTAAATGCTACAGGTTTTTGTTATATAAAAAAGTTCAAGAATCAGATTTTCTGTTTCATATTTTTTTGATTTGTTGTATTGGCAACACTAATATAAGGAATAAATACAGTGTTGTAGGAATCCTACTATGTTGTCATTTAATACTACTAAATTGTAAGTTGGTCTTACTTATTTTCGTTATTATGAAATTGATCATAAGATTAACATGCAATATAACAATAAGGTAATCTGCTTTTCCCTTTTAGGTTCCATCTCAGGATGATTCCAAACCAACCCAGAGGCAATTTACTATTCTCAACTTTAATGATTTAATATCATCTGCTGTTCCCATGACACCCGAAGATCCTTCATTTTGGGACTGTTTTTGCTTCACAGAAGAAATTCCAATACGAAATGGTACAAAGTCATGATGATTCCCTGAGGAACAAAGGGAAATGAAAACTGTTTGTAATCTTCCGTATTTGCTGAAAAATGAATGCTTGTTTAGTATCAAATTTTACTTCACAAAAGTTTTTTTTAAAGAACAGAAACTTTTCCAATTAAAAAAAAAAAGTAGACTTCCAGTTCAAGATAGCTCACTGAAATACATGTTTACCTCTTTATCTCCTAAATTGCATTGAATTGATAGGAAGGATGGTGGAATCTTAAAGTGATACATGCTAACTGTAGAAAGATAGAAAACGCACATAAGCAAAAGGAAACATTGAAATGCTATCATTCAAAGATAACTACTCTTAAAACCTTGAGTATCTTTTCAGACCTTTTTCTTGGCAAATGAATCCATATTAACATATTTGATTTTTAAAAACATGGGAACATACTGTTTTGTAAATTTTTTTTAACTGCGCATCTACTGTTCATAAATATACATCTAACATAACTTTTTGTGGTTCTAACATACTCTGTTGTATAGCTAATACAAGTTAGGATGCTTTTGGCCAGAGGTAACAGTGTCCAAATGTAATTGGCCTAAGTAACCTAGGACATTGTTTAACATAACACAGGGTTCAGTGGTGTCATTAAAGACACACTTTTTTTTGCCTTGACCTCAGTTGGTTTGTTTTGCCTTAGGCTAATCCACCTCTCAATCACAAGAGCTGCTGCTATTACTTCACTTTTACATCTTCGTAAAATTGTATCTCAAAGGCAGAAAAGGCCATTCTCTCATTTGTTTTATCCATGAAGAAGACTTTTAACAAAAACCTCCGGAAGATTTCCCCTCAGTTTCCATTGACTTAGATCAGATTACAGAGAAAGGCAATGTCTGACATTTTTAGTCTGTTAGAAGTGGACTCTGTTGAAAAGAAAAGCTAAGCTAGGTGTGGAGAATGGAATTGGAAGCCCACTGCCTTCCCATAAGAAAAGTTTGCCATAATTTACTCATTTTTTTCTGTTAGACATTTTGATTATCTGCAGCTTATTACTACAAGCAGTGGCAGAGTGAATGTCCTTGTACATTTTGAGGTACATGCTTAATTATGTTCTTGAGACAGTTTCTAAAAGTGGAATGATTGATTTGACTGGTTCACAGGGCTTTAATTGTACAATTTCTCTCTCTAATTAGTACTATATGTGTGTGACCTCCCTCCCCTGCCAGAATACTCCTTGGTCAATTGTAGGTATTCTTTTTTATTTAATTGTTGCCAATATAAAAAGTGGTATGTCACTTTTAAAATTTGTATTTCTTTCATTACAAATAAGGTTGATATGTCAGTGTTGTTATTGGCTTTTCGTATTCCTCTTAACGTGAACCGTCTGTTCATTGTCTTTACCTGTTTTTGTTTTTAGCAAGTAGTACTTAATTTAAAGTGTGAACATAATATATAAGATGCCAAGACCATCATATTGATGACAAAAATATATTATGTGGTTGTAGTGCATGTCTTGGAGTTAAACTCTTAAGTATCAAGAAATAAAATAATTTCATTGTTTCTGTTACTAACATTAAAAGTGTGCAAATTGTATAAAATTAGGTACTTTGATTAGTAAAAAAAAAAGAAATTGAATGTTTTATATATTTTTTTTTATTTTATTAAGCATGCCCAGTTATGCCAAGCATAGTAAAAATAAAGGTCAAGTAGCATTTATAATAGAAGTACTGTTACCCCTAGCATGAGTGTAATGTGAAAAACTTTGTCTTGTCATTAAAATAATAAAAAAGATGAACGTTTATTATGGAATTTCTATGAGCCTGATGCTGTATTGGATTTGTATTTTTTAATTTTTAGGTTTTCTATTACTTTTAATCAAAGTTTCATGTGTATACAGCTTTAAAAAATCGAATAGATCTGTAAGATTTTTTTTTCCTAAGGAAAAAGGCCACTACTTTGACTTCTTCCATTTTCTGTCTCCAGGGCAAGCCCTTTCAACTCTTTTAGCTATTTGTTTTTTGTTGTTGTTATTTATTACCATATCTCCAAATGACAGGCTTATATTGCTTTTACTTGATTTTTAAATTTTAGGCATTGTTTCTTTGATTCTCAAAGCGTCCCTCTTCTGCTTCCCAGCATTGCATATTCCCTTCTTATCCCCTTTTCTCCTCCCAGCATAATTATATCATAATTCAGTATTTACATTGTTGACTGTGATTACACTAAGAATATGTGTACATTATTGAGATTATGTAACTGCTGTGTACAGCTGATTGATGTATTATCCTTACCATATACTAATTTTTATTTCCTTTAGTTAATTGACTTTGCATAGATTTCTACCACATGTTTGAATGTCTTCTCTAACGTTCAGACATAACGATTATTCCATCAGTTTCATTCGTCTTTTAAAAAATCACTCCTAGAGCAATCTGCTTTGTCCAGTTGGACTTTCTGCCTTCTATGGCTGGTGTACAGCTATAATCCTGAGATCTCCTTTGCTATGATCCTGGGGATTGTTTGTCTCCCCTGTGTTGGATTCCCTGTTTCCCCATTTGCTATCTCTCACTTCTTAGATTTACTCCATTCATGTGGAATAGCTTTTTGAGAACAAAGTGGGCATAGGAGTTATATTTTTTGAGACTTATAAGAGGAAGGGACAATCCTCCTATGCAGAGTGGTATGGGGATCTAGTTTCTTAAACCTATTATCCTATCCCCCTCCACATGAAGCCATTTGTTAGCTCTGTATTCATACTTACTTTTTCCAAGTATTTGATGCTGCATTTTGCTGAGTTTTGTGCTGGGCTGGCACATGCTGCTTCATATTCATGTCTGCTGGGTCGAATTATAACATACTGACCAATGTATGGCTTTATTGGTCTCTGTTAGTACGTTTCCTGCACAGGAACTCTCATAAACTGATTTTTAAAATGAATCTGTATATTTGTGTCTCTTCCATTTCAGACTCAGAAATTTAAAAGACTTGGATAAATTTTCAATTAAGTTTTTCACTATCAAAATTAGAATTGTTACCTATTCAGTATCTGAAACTCAAAATCCAGTTAGGATTGAGTAACTCAACAGCTCCTCACTAGTGGAACTATTACCATCTGAACTTGAGGACCAGATAGATTTATAAATACACATATGCAAATATATCTTTGGTCAAAAATATTCCTGAAAACTCCAAGTATCAGTACTTTTAAAGAGGATGTGAAGAGAGCTCATGATGATGGATTTTATTTTTATGGGGTAAATAAATACACCTTCATAGTGTTGTGAATTTGGGATTGGCAAAGGTCTTTGGATGTATTTCCAGTTTATCAGTTAATGTCGGGTAACTGCTGCATATGTCTTACGGTATTTATATTAGAAGCTATTTTGCATCTTAAGCACTCGTATATCAGGCTATTTAATTCTCATAACTCTTTGGAGTTTTATTTATAGGGAAAGTAAGTTACTAAGTTCTTGAACAACTTACTAAAGGGTATATATTCATTGAATAGTGAAGCTCGTTATTTGGTCAGAGTTAGGTTCAGATCTTTAGATCCAGAACCTAAGTCAACCACTATACTTAGTGGTGTGCTGCTGGTAAATATTTAACAACCAGCAATCCTGGGGCAGGGAAGGAGAGGCCTTTATATGTAACTTTTGCTTATTCCATGAAATATGACGTGTAACCAACACCTAGGTTTAACACATGTTGGCATTTTGCCATATTTGCTTCAGATCTTTTCTCCTCTCAGGAATGAAGCAAATGCAGCTGAAGACTTCCTACCTCCCAGTTACCACCCCTTCATCTTTCCCTTTCCAGGGATAATCTCCAATATTTGTAATTTTATGCTCTTATGCACTTACTATTTGTGTATGTATAGTGTTTTGTGATTAAATCTTACATTTCCCTATGAGGATTGAAACATTAGGATGGAATCTCTTTGTGTGCTACTTAGAAGTAGCAACAGTGTCAGAATAATTGGGCTCACTTAAGCCACACTTCTCAAGGAGTATACATACTTAGGAGTAGGCACTGGTGTGTTGGTAGTAACTCATCAAAAGATAGCAGTTGGTCATTTAGAGGCATTCATTTTACCTGAAGTTTTAGAAAGAATCTTTTCATAATAAAAGTGTTACAGACATTGTAAGTAGCATGCAAATTTGCCCATATTTTAAGTAAAAAGGTGTGGGGCTTCAGAGGAATTTTCCTGCCCATGAGTACATAGTCGCTGTTCTTTACTTTTAGGGTCATTTTTGAATGAAAGAAAATTGGAAAGGAGCCAACATTAGAGAGGAAAAAAAGTAACATTTGTTGAGTACTTAAGCAGTAGAGCCGAAATCTTGGTGTGATATACACCTTTGCAGGTCACCTTTAGGGGACTGACCATGTTGCAGGTATAAGACCACTTTTTTACTATCCTAGAAGCCTTCAGCAATAGGCAAGTGAAATCCCATAAATTTGGTGGTCCTGATAGTTCCATGAGTATTTTCTGTTGTTACTTAGCAGCCTTGAAAACTCTTTTTATGCTTTTCCCAGTGTTGTGTGAGCAAGAAGCCTGCTAAACTAGTTGTTCTTTTCCCCTCTAAATCCACTGTCTTTCACCCTTCAGTACGCCAGGTAGCTGACTTCTATGTACCTTATTGGCCAGGCTGTCTTTTCCTTGATCGGGTTTTGCAAATAGAGGTGGAAGAGGGTATTAGCGGAAGACCAGGTAGAAAGGGAAATAGGATGATTATCCACTTGCCTTCCTGCCCTGCAGTGGCTTGGATATAACTCTGTTCCTCAGCATCACAGCTTCTGACATAGCCTTCTCCATATATAGAGCTCATGGGTTCAGGAACCACTTTTCCCTGCCTTTTCATTTTAGGAGTAGAAAGATCTTGCTCTTGCTTAGCCTAAGCTGCTGCACTATCTCTCGCAGATTTGTGTTATTCTTGCCTACACCCTCGTTGATGATTACTTTTGGTTGCGCCATCTGTTTCCTGCTACAACCCTGAATAATACAGTAATTTGTACCATGAGTAGTCCTGGGAAAGTGGAATTCTGGAATTGGATCGCTCACATACTTGATTTATATACAAATAACTTCCTTGTCAGGGGAAATGGATGCTTATCATTGGTAACAAGTGGTGATGTCACAATTGCTCACATCATCACTAGTAGTGGCATGGAGTCATGGAATACAAGTGGAGTAGTGTTGGAAGATCAAGTGGCTGTGGCACATAGTCCCTATGGTCATAGTAGGGATTACAGGGATTGTTAGGAGGGCTGGCTCTTTTGAATGTCTAGAGCATATACACAGGGAAAAGGATAAATTGAAAGCAAAGGGAAAAATTGGGGAAAAAAACACTAAGTATCACAAAATCTATGGCAACTCTAGGGGAATATCTTATATTTTGTAGATAAAGCTAAGAATCAAGCCTAGAGCTTTTATTGTAAGGGCTGCTGAGTTGTAATACCAATTACTGGCCAGTACTGAGTCTCTCATGCTAAGGGCATTGGTATGGAAGAAGTGGGACCTTCAGAAATGAGATGGGGACATTTGGGTTGCCACAGACAAGGCTGAGAACCTTGAACATTTTACATTTCCCTGAACCTTCCCTACTGGCAGAGGCAGCCCCATTTGTCTGAAGGGACAATCTTATCTCCTGATATAGTTTTGAGATGTCAGGTTGAATTCTGACCCCCTGTGTTGGAAGTGGGGCCTGGTGGGAGGTGATTGGATCATGGGGGCAGGTTTCTAATGAATGGTTTATCACCATTGTCTTGGTGCTGTCCTTGTGATAGTGAGTTCTCGTGAAACCTGGTTGTTGTAAAGCAGGTGGCACCTCCCCCTCAGTCTCTCACTTGCTTCTGCTTTCTGCCTACTCCCTGTGTAAGCTTCCTGAGGCCTCCCTAGAAGCTGAGCAGATGTGGGCATCATGCTCCCTGTGAAGCCTGCAGAACCATGAGCCAATTAAACTTTTTTCTTTACAAATTACTCAGGCTCAAGTGTTTCTTTGTGGCAACACAAGAATAGCCCAGTATGCATCTCCACTTGCCCTGCAAAGGAAAGACAGTGTATCAATGAATTCACTTGAGATGGTTCTCTCATAAGCAGGTGTCAGTTATCCTCAGGATTTATATCCACTATCCATCTTTACTTTTTGGAAAATAACAAATACCCTAAACAGAGAAGTATAAGATCAGGTCCAGGAGGAAGGGCCTATTCAGAAGAGTTGCAGAATATTACCACTTTGCATTGTAGGGGTTTGGAGGACAGAATGGGAATAGATTCTAAGGGCATTTGACTGAAAAGGGTTACATCAGATAAGGCAGGCATACTAATGGGGATATACTCACACAGAAAATGTGAGTTAATGTGTTGGCCTGAGAATCTGGGAATGGCGATAAGTCTGTCACATTGTTTGACTAAAACCTAAACTCAGTGGTAACCTACAATCAATGATGTTGAAATGTTAGAACTTTCCTGACGGAAAGAGTCCAGAGCCTTAGGAAGATAGGAATGGGGATCTGTTCTTTGCTAATCTGCACATTCATCCTCTGAGGGACTGGGCTTGGAAGACAGTCACTTTGCCAAGGATGTTTTTTTAAATCCATTAGTAAATGAGTACCTTGAAAAGCCTTATGGTTTCATCTCTGTAGATCAAAGATGCTGCAGTGAATTTAGGTTACTTGTTTTCAATGGGAATAATATGATTCCAGAACGGTTGAAATCATGAGATGGTACTTCAGAGTAGTCATCAAAGAGTCTTGTGCCACAGGGGTTTCTGGTGATGGTTCATTGATCACAGGATCTCTAGGGGTAGATTAAATGGGCAGCCTGCAAAGATCTGTTTGACACATTAACAGAAAAGTTCTAGGTCTGATGAACAGATACTTGACTGAAATCACTGTGGTGGTGATCCACACTTTACTAATTTTTTTTTTTTTTTTTTTTTTTTTTTTTTTTTTTTTGAGACGGAGTCTCTCTTTGTCGCCCAGGCTGGAGTGCAGTGGCCGGATCTCAGCTCACTGCAAGCTCCGCCTCCCGGGTTTATGCCATTCTCCTGCCTCAGCCTCCCAAGTAGCTGGGACTACAGGCGCCGCCACCTCGCCCAGCTAGTTTTTTGTAGTTTTAGTAGAGACGGGGTTTCACTGTGTTCGCCAGGATGGTCTCGATCTCCTGACCTCGTGATCCACCCGTCTCAGCCTCCCAAAGTGCTGGGATTACAGGCTTGAGCCACCACGCCCAGCCTCACTTTACTAATTTTTTTAAAAACTTAGCCATTTTATACACTTAGGATCTCTTAATCAAGGGGATAGCTAGAGCCCTTTGACAAAGAATCCTGCAATGCAGTCACAAGTATACAAGAGAAATGCTCTCCCAATCCTTTCTAGGCACACCTGTGTCTATTTACCATGGTAATTTTTCAATGGGGAAAGAGAAATACTAAGAACTTCTGGGGCCTGTTAGATACTCGTTCTGAGTTGATAATAGTGAGCCCAAACTGAGTCTGTGTTGCCTTGTCAAAGTGGAAGCTATGGACATTTGGGAAAATGCAGTCTTGGCCTGAGTCCATCTCATAATGTGGTTATTTTCCCAGTTCCAGTTGAATAGTGGAATAAATACACGGTTGTCTCTCAGTATCTGTAGGGGTTGGTTCCAGGACCCCCCTCAGATACCAAAATCCATGGATGCTTAAGACCCTTATATAAAATGGCATAGTATTTGCACATCCTAAGCAGATCCTCTCACCTACTTGAAATCCTCTCTAGATCACTTATAATACATAATTATTGTTGTACTCTATTGTTTTCCTAATTTATAATATTTTTATTCTTGTATTGTGTTTTAAATTTTGAACAGTTGTTGGCTGAATCCACAGTTGCGACCCCTACAGATACAGAGGGCCAGCTGTACTTACTAATTTGCAGGTGTCACACATTGGTTCCTTTCCCTGTGAGGTGAAAGTTGTGGTGGCAAGGACCAAGTGGAAGCCCCTAGAACTGCTCATCCCTGCCTCTGGCTAAGGCAGTAAACCAAGTAATACTGCATCCCTAAAGGAACTGCAGAGATCAGTGCCACAATCAGAGACTTGAAAGACGTAGAGGGGTGATGTGACTGTTTTCACTCCCACCTTCCTAATTTTCTCTGGCCTGGGTGTGGTATGGGTGCTGTTCTTGTTCCTTAGGTACACCGTCAGACAATTCTCCTTCCTTCCTCACATCATCAGTCTGTGCCACCCACCATCTCTTAATGCAGTCACCTCTTCATCCAGTGGTATTTGCCCACATCCCCATTGAGCTTACCTGTTTGGCTAAGGCAAAATATTAGTCTTGGAAAATGACTGTAGATTATTGAAATTTAATCAGATAGGGATGTCAATTTTGGGTGGTGTTGCCAGAACAAGTCAACACAACCCATGGGACCTCAAATGAAATTGTTCACTTAGCAAATGTTTCCTTTGTAATTCCTATCAGCAAAGAAACTCAGAAGCAGTATATCTTCATATGACAGAGACAGCAGTCACTGTTTTATAGCTCTTGGGTTCTCTGTCACAATGTAGTCAGAAGGGTCCTTGATCCATTACACTGATAGCATTCTGTTTTCTGGTGACCTTGGTGGTAAGATACATGCATGCCAGAAGATAGGAGATAAATGCTGTAAAAGTTCAGAGACTTGACATAGGGAATAAATTAATATTCCCTCTAAAATGAAAGAAGGGTTGCATTGTTTTGCACCAAACACAATAAATAGAGCAGCATAATGCTTGATGAGCTTCTATGAATTCTTGAAGGCAAAATAACTATGTCTGATCTGTTGCTATAATTCACTTACTAGGTAGCTCCTAAGCCTGCCTGTTTGGAGGGGAGCCATGTATCTGTGAAAATTCTGTCAGGAAAATGGAGGCACTACAAATGTAACAGGTAATTTTACCTCTGACTGCTGCTTACCTTTATGTTAGTTCTTCCTCATCCTCTCAAATTATTGAGCATCCCAAATCTTGGTCCTCATAGCTCATCACTTTTCTCTTGATACTTATTCCCTTGGTGATCTCATTCATTCTCAGGCTTCAGATACTATCCATATGCTGATGCCTCCCAAATATTTAATGTCTGTCCACACCTTTCAAGACCTCTTACCTGTCTCCAGACTCAGATTTCCAGATGCCTACACATGTCCACTTGATATCCACTGGTAGCTTGCACATAATATGTTTGAAACTAAGTTCTTAATAGGCATTCCCCACCTCTTCTCACCCAAACCTATACCATCCCTGGGATCATTTGTCCCTCTGTCCTTCTATCTTCCTCCGTCTCAGTATATGAGATCTTCATCCTTCCAGCCACTTGGATTCAAATCCATGGGATCATCCTCTTTTCTCTCCTACTCCACACATACGTTTCTTTCTTATACACAGTACTTGAGTACTTCTTTCAACAAACAGTACTTGAGCAAAACTGTCAGTTCAACCTTCAAACCACACCCAGAGTTGGACCACTCTTCACCATCTCCGCTGCTCCTCACCTGATCCAGGCCACTACTGCCTCACCTGGGTGATTGCCACAATCTCTGCAATGGACTGCCTACTTCCAGTCTTTCCCCCTTCAGTCTATTCTCCACATTGCAGCCATCTCCCTCACAGTAAAAGCCAAAGTCTTTCTAACAAGCATAGTAGCCTACATGGTCTAGCCTCTGTTGCTCCCTACCATTCTATTCTGTTTCTCATTCTCATTTCCTACTCGCATTCTCACTTATTATTATGTTGGTGCAAAAGCAATTGCAGTTTCAGACCGTGAATTTTAAATCATTATAACTAAGCTGAGACACATCGTTATTAATCAAAATAGGAACCATTACAATCAACCCAGTTTTGCCGATGAGAAATAAGTTTATTCCTGTAGCATAAAAATCCATGCTTTGGGATTTGACGAACTCTTGGAAAGAATTTTCTGCATCCTGCTGGTTGTGGGAGCGTTTTCCCTGCAAAAAGTGGTGGTTGGTTGACAAGAGCTCAGATGAATATGGCAGATGAGGCAAAATTTCGTAGTTCAATTTGTTCAACTTTTGAAGCATTGGTTGTGTGATGTGCAGTCGGGTGTCGTTGTGAAGAATTGAGCCTTTTCTGTGGACCAATGCTGGCTGTAGGCGTTGCAGTTTTCAATGCGTCTCATCGATTTGCGGGGCATACTTCTCAAATGTAATGGTTCTGCAGGATTCAGAAAGCTGGATCAGACCGGCAGTAGGCCACCAAACAGTGGCCAGGACCTTTTTGTTTTGCAGCGTTGGTTTTGGGAAGTGCTGTGGAGCTTCTTGTTGGTCCAGCCACTGAGCTGGTCATCGCCAATTATCATATAAAATCCACTTTTCATCTCACATCACAATCCGATCAAGAAATGGTTTGTTGTTGTTGCATAAAATAAGAGAAGACACTTTTATTTTCAGTTAGCTCATGAGGCACCCACTTACTGAGCTTTTTCACCTTTCCAGTTTTCTTCAAATGCTGACTGACTGTAGCATGGTCGGCACTGAGTTCTTTGGCAACTTCTTGTGGAGTTTAAGAGGGTTTGATGGTTGCTCTGAATTGGTCATTGTCAACTTCCGGTGGTCGGCTGGTACACTCCTCATCTTCAAGGCTCTCGTCTCGTTTTTGCAAAACTTCTTGAACCACCACTGCACTGTACATTCATTAGCAGTTCCTGGGCCAAATGTGTTGTTGATGTTGCAAGTTGTCTCTACTGTTTTATAACCCATTTTGAACTTGAGTCAGAAAACACTCGAATTTGCTCTTTGTCTAACATCATTTCCACAGTCTAAAATAAACATAAACAAACAGCAAGTAATAAGTCATTAGCAAAAAAAAAAAAAAAGAAAAATGCCCCTTAAAATGATATATAACGTAACTACATTTATTTAAGAATGTATTCCAATATCAACAGTGCAAAAACCACAATTACTTTTGCACTGAACTAATACTATTCTCTCTATGTTCACTTTACTGCAACCACACTGGGCTTCTCTGTTCCTTGAATATACCAGGCACTGTCCTGCTTCAGGTCTTTACACTTATTGTCCCTTTGTCTGGAATGTTCTTCTCCCAGATACTCGCATGGTTCACCCCTTACTTCCATCAGATCTTTACTTGACAGTCATCTCCTTAGTGACTTCCCCTGGACGCTCCAAAATTGTACATCATTCAGTTTCCCATTCCCAGCACTCCAGATCTCGATTCTCTGCTTTATTTTCCCTGTGGGGCTTAACCACCATCAAACACACCATACTTTTTAGTGTCTTCATTATTGTCTGTCTCAACTCCAGTCCTTGCCAGACTATAAGATCCAAGAAGGACAGGGATTTAAACTAGTTTTGTTTACTCCTATTTCCCCATGGTCTTATAACAGTGCCTACCTCATATAAAGGCTCAACAACTATTCACTGAATGAATGAATGCTGTGGTTTTGTTTTAGTTGTCTAGGGCTACCATAACAAAGTACCACAGACTTTGTAGCTTAAATAGAAATTTATCTCCTCACAGTCCTGAAAGGCTAGAAGTCTGAGATTAGGGTGTCAGTAGGGTCAGTTTCTTCTGAAGCTTCTCTCCTTGGTTTGTAGATGACCCTCTTCTCCCTGTGTTTCTGCATGGTCTTTATGTTTATCTGTGTCTTCATCTCTTCTTACGAGGATACCAGTCAGATTAGTGCCTACCCTAAAGACTTCATTTAACCCTAATTACCCCTTAATTATCTTATGTCCAAATACTGGCACATTCTGAGATACTAGGGGTTAGGACTTCGACATATAAATTTGGGGTGACAAAATTCATCCCACAACATGTCTCTGCCCCTATGACATATTCACTTTCTCAGATGGATTATTTATCTCCCCATCCTCTCTATTTGCTCACATAATGCTAATCCCTTTCCTTCTTTGCCAGTATTCCAATTTTCAACTACAGTCATGCGTTGCTTAATGACAGGGATATATTACGAGAAATGTGTCCATTAGGTGATTTCGTGATTGTGTGAACATTATAGAATATACTTATACAAACCTAGATGGTACAACCTACTACACACCTAGGCAATATGGTAGAGCCTATTGCTCCCAGGCTACAAACCTGTATAACATGTTACAGTACTGAATACTGTAGGCAATTATAACATAATGATAAGTATTTATGTATCTAAACATATCTATACATAGAAAAAGTACCGTAAAAATATGGTATAAAAGACTAAACATGGTACACCATTTTTAATGGTACACATTGTATAGGGCAGTCACCATGAATAGAGATTACAGGGTTGGAAGTTGCCCTGGGTGCATCAGTGAGAGAGTAGAGAGTCATTGTGGAGCCCTAGGACCTTACTGTCCACTACTGCAGATGTTATCAACACTATACACCTCAGCTACACTAATATTATAAGAAATATTTTTCCTTCTTCAATACTAAATTAACTTTAGCTTACTATAGCTTTTAAACTTTATAAACTTTTTTATGTTTTAAACATTTTTACCGTTTTGTAACAACACTTAAAACACACGCATTGTATGCTGTACAAAAATATTTTCTGTCTTTATATCCTTATTCTATAAACTTTTCTCTATTTTTGAAATTTTGAATTTTGTTTACTTTCTAAACTTTTTTGTTAAAATCTAAGTCGCAGTACACACACATTAGCTTGGGCCTGTACAGATTCAGGATCATCAATGTCACTGTCTTCAACCTCCACATGTTGTCCCAATGGAAGGTCTTCAGGGGCAACATGCAAGGATTTGCCATCTCCTGATAACAACGCCTTCTGGAATATCTCCTAAAGGGCCTGCCTGAGGCTGTTTTACAGAAGCAGAAGGAGTAAATTTTAAAATAAATATTAAATGTGTAACATAGTAAATACACAAACCAGTAACAGTCATTTATTATCATTATCAAGTATTCTGTACTGATCATAATTCTGAACATAATTGTATGCACTAGACTTTTATACAGCTGACAGTGTTGCAGGTTTGTTTACACCAGCATCACCACAAACACACGAATAATGCATGGCGCTGTGAAGTTACAGCAGCTATTATGCCACTAGGCAATAGGAATATTTCAGCCCCATTATAATCTTATGAGACCACTATTGTATATGTGGTCTATCATTGACTGAAATGTCATGATTTGCCATATGACTGTATACATTTCTATATTTATTTGTATAAAATCTCTCTCTTCCTTCCACCTTTGGACTCTTAAGTTTCAGGCATTCTGTTAACACTTGACTAATATTCTTAATTTAAACATCATAGCCACACTACAAAGTAAGCACGGTTCCTCATATTTCAAGAATGTAAAATTTGAGGCCCAAGGGAATTAGACCTTTTTTTGGAGGTCATGTTAACTCATAAATGATGTCATTCTGATTTTAATTTAATTTCCACAGACTCAAAAGCACATTCTTTTATTTCTATACCACATTGTCATCAAGATGAATGGTGGAAAAGCATACTTCTGCCTTATGTGTTGTGAGTGAAGCTGCCCTTGAAGGAAGTCTCCTGTTTTAGGAAATAAGATTAAGTTTAGATTCTGAATAATTATCCCCATAAATTGAATTTGGATGTTATATTTATATATTTTACTACTGCAATTTGTATTGTCCTTGATGATGATTTAAATTTATTCTACACAATTTAACAATTTAAAAATATTAAAAGTTGTTTCCTTACGAAAGTGTCAGAATTACACAATGAATTAATAATGTTGAAACAATGGCTATAATTTTATCCTAAAATGCAAAGGAAAATGTCCTTGCTTTTGTTTTGTTTTGTTGTTGTTTTGTGTTTGTTTGTTTTCATTGCTTTTGTTAAAACAGTGTAACATATGTTCTTGATAAAAATGCCAGGGCTTTATTGGTGAAAACCATAGTAGGCTTTGAAAGCCAGTTACTTATAATTAAGTGAATATCATTATCTCTTTGGGTATAGATGATTGTTTAAAATAGAAATTTTTTTATTGATTTTATGTTTTAGAAAGAGCTTTGCTTTAAAATATATATCATGTTGGCATTGAAAAACTTAATTCCAGTGGATACCAGTTGTGAAATCATTAAGTTGATAAAAAATAGCTGTCCATAATTTTGATACATACATAGAAATGCTATAGGTCACAGTGCAACTACTTATAACTATTGAACTCTGATTTTATTTTGCATTTCCAAACAAACTGTTGCTCTGAGTTTGTGGATGATGATCTAGTGGCCATTTAATGGTAGTTTTTAAATTGGTGTCAAGAGGTGAAAGGGCAGAGATGGTGCTTTCATTGACTCTTAGGCTGTGTAAAAGGAAAATGTTTACTTCTTTTTTATTTCTGTGTATATACAGCTCCTAAAAATAAAAGGTTAGAGCATTTAATCCAAATAAATATCTTTTCAGAGCATATGAACACTCTGAAGGAGCTAAAGATTTAGATAATAATCAATACCTGTGAAATCTGACATTAATTTAGGGACTTAAAATAGACCTGTAGACAGCGAAACATTTGCAGTGAATGATAATTAAAACAAAGAAATACTCTGAATTTTCAAGTATAAATTCCTGTTGTTTTCCTAGGAACCCCTCGTATATAAATGAGTGCAGTTGGTCATCAGGTTGACTGAAAACATTAATCTTTTAGTCACATGGAAGAGGTAAGCATAATCTGGTGAAATCCAGTTTGTATCATTGTTGGAGACCTATTTTATTTAACAATCAAATAATTAATTTGAGCCAAGCTCAGTGGTGCACACCTGTAGTCCCAGCTACTCTGGAGACTGAGGTGGGAGAATCACTTGAGCCCAGGAGTTAGAGGCCAATCTGGGCAATATAGCAAGACACTCTCAGAAAAAAAAAATTAATTTGAGGTATTTTTCTTTTATTTGAATATTCAAGATAAAGCTGGGCATCTTGAAGCACATGAATTAAAGCCATTTTATAGCTGAGCTAGGCTAGAAAAGCCTTATCCTGAATCTTTTTTTTTTTTTTTTTTTTGAGACAAAGTCTGGCTCTGTCGCCCAGGCTGGAGTGCAGTGGCGCGATCTCGGCTCACTGCAACCTCCGCCTCCCAGGTTCACACCATTCTCCTGCCTCAGCCTCTTGAGTAGCTGGGACTACAGGTGCCCGCCACCACGCCCGGCTAATTTTTTGTATTTTTAGTAGAAACGGGGTTTCACCGTGTTCGCCAGGATGGTCTCAATCTCCTGACCTTGTGATCCACCTGCCTCGGCCTCCCAAAGTGCTGGGATTACAGGCGTAAGCCACCGTGCCTGGCGTGTCCTGGAATCTTAATAAAGATTAAATAAATCTTAATAAAGATAAAATAATCTTAATCTTAAATTTAAGAAAGTGAAGATGAATAAATACAGTCCCTTGAGGGCAATCTTCACGTGGAAAAGAATTTCCAGATTTGTAAAAAAGAATGGCATGTAATTTTGAGTTAAGGATGCAGCATTTCTGCATTTGTATTTGCAGAAATCAGGGTTCAGATATCAAATGCATCATTTGTCAAAACTGCCTTTTGCAAAACTGACATCCTTTCAACTTTGGACATTGTTAATTTACTAAGGGAAAAAATGTTTACTTCTTCCTGGACTTTAACCACATTTGTATTTAGAATTACCATGAAAAATGATATTTCTCAAAAAAAGTTGACATATCGAGATAGATATACTCATGAAGCTATCAAATAGAAAATTGTTCCCCAAAAAATTAATTTTATAGAAAAATGACACTTTTATGTCCTAGTTTGCTTATGTTATGTTTTATCCCAGTCACTTGTATGTCATACTACTTTTAGGGTGTGTGTGAAAATGTGCAATATTTGATCACTTAAAAACCTAATTTAGGAGGTGTCAGCCAGGAACAAGTGCAATATATTATGTCCAAAGTAATTGTGCAGATTTTTCATCATGCGAAATGGTTACTTTATTTCAAATAGATTTTCTTTCCTCTTTTCTCTATTTCTTACGTGCAAAATTATAAGATAATATTTTCTTTCTGCTGACCTTGAGGCAGGGAAGAACAAACTTTTCTTTCAGAGCACAAGAGTTCATTTATGTGAGGTTCCTAGGAAAATTAAGAAAGCCAGTTAGATAAGCTTAATGGGAACTCATGATGGGTTCAGATTTTTCAGCATTTCTTTAGGAAACTTTTTATTTGCCAGTTTAGTTTTACAGAGTGAACTATACGTCGTGGTTCTAAGGAGACATTATAGGTACTACATCATCCATGCATCCACTAATACAACTTTCAGTCTGTCCTGTTCATGATTTCCAGAATTGTCTTTCTTGCAAACCAAGTTAAATTGTGCCATTGTCTTCCCTGAAAAACAGGGTTTTAGCTCTCTCTTATCCTGTAGGTTCAAGTGTAAAGTCCTTAATATGGCTTACAACACTCCAGTTACAAACCTCCTCCAAATCTTCACTTCTCGACTTTATTTCACTATGCCACTCTTTAGCTATACTTGCTCTTCATTGACTTTCAGACCCCTAAATCCATTTACCTTCTGCCTTTTCTGTACTTGTCCTTCCCAGCTGATTGCTCTCATTTCAATTCATGACCCTAATATTAAATGGGTTGTAGTGCTGCCCCACAGTCATGCATTCCGGGTCCACTCACCCAGATAACTTTTCCATACTTTCCCTTCTCTTCTCCAACTTCTAATACATTCTCCAGCTTTGCTCTTTGCTGATTACCTTGCTTCCTATTCCACTGAAAAAGCAGATGTTTCAGAAGAGAATTTCCCCCAAGCTTCCTCCGTCACAGCCACCCACCTTGCTGGGTCTGTGCCCATGCAGTGTGCCTCCCCTGCTGCCACTAGAGAGCAATGTCCACACTCGTGTCTAAGCCCAGCCCCTTGATTTGGACACTAGATTCATTCCCTCTACTCTGGATGGTACTTTGGAAAATCTCACCTCTTTGGCACATCAATTTCTTGTCAATTACAGCATCATTCCCAGAAACATAAACATGCGTTACTTATCTCATCTTAAAAAGAAATCCTCTCCTTTTTCACCAAATTGATGCTTTTTTAAAAAAGAGAGAGAAAGAGAGAAAAGAAGGAAAGAAAGAGAAAAAGAAAGAAAAGAAAGAAAAGAGAGAGAAAGGGAGAAAGAAAAAGGGAAAGAGAGAGAAAGAAAAAGAAAGAAAGAGTAAGAAAGAAAGAAAAGAAAGAAAGGAAGAGAAAGAAAAAGAAAGAACCCTCTTTTCACTCCATCCTTCCCTCTTGGATACTGTACCATATTTCAGTTTCCCTTTTCTGCAAGAACTGGAGATGACTTCATTATCTACAGTTCTTCTCATCTATTATAATAATTCTAGAACCAACTCAAATCAGGCTTTTGCCTCACTGACCACTGATACTTCTTTTTTTCAAAGTCACCAAAGACTTCCGTGTTCCTAAGTCCTTTGGGCAGTTCTCAGTCCTCATCCTACTTGGCCTATCAGCAGCATTTATCTCCCTGTAAATGCTTTCTTTTTTGATACAGCAGCTTCACTTTCAGGATACCACATCAAGTTTTTTTGTTTTGGTTTTGGTTTGTTTTTGTTTTTGTTTTTTCTCATTGGTCAGTTTTTCTCAGTCTCCTTTGCTAATTCCTTTTATCTCCCCAAACCCTAAATGTTGGCAAGTCCTAGATCCAGTCCTCAGATCTCTACTCTTTCTATACTCATTCTCTTTAAATACATTTATACATTGGTTATCACCAAATCTATGTGTCTGGCCCAAACCTCTCCCATAAACTCTAGGCTCATATATCTCTCTATTTGACATCTTCACTTGGATGTCTAAAAAGTATCTCAAATACATTATATCCAAAACTGAAATCTTCATTTCCTTAAAATCTGTTAATTCCACAGTTATGTCTCCCTGGTAAAAATAAATTCTATTTTTTCGGATGCTTGAGTTAAAAATCTTGGAGTTTCCTTTACTCTTCCCTTTCTTGCATACTCCACCCTCACATCCAATCTCTCAGTAAGTAGTGTTGGCCTTTTATTTGAAATATATCTAAATCAAACTCCTTTTCATCACCTCAACAATTACCACTGTGGTCCAAGCCACCATCATCTTTCATCTAGAATATTGCAACAGCCTTGTCACTTGTTTCCTTATTTCTGCCTCAATAACTCACTATTTTATTTTTTAATGCAGAAACCAGAATGGGTTTTTTTCTTCTTCTTCTTCTTCTTTTTTAACTTAGGTCTGATTATGTGACTCCTCCACTTAAAATTCTCCATGGTCTTGCAACTCTCTTATATTAAAAACCAAGATCATGCCCTTGCTCATCAGAAGAAAAAGTCCCCAAATCAAGGTCATTACCATGAGCCTAGTGTGCCTAATTGGATTTTGGAGGCAACACATTACTCATTTGGGTGTGTTACTCCAGCCCATTTATCTAGTGACCCCAAAAGCTGCCAGTTTTGAGTAATGGCTAGGACAGGAGAAGTCTCTGCCACAAGCCCAGGCTGCTGTGCAAGCTGCTCTGCCACTTGGGCCATATGACGCAGCAGATCCAATGGTGGTTGAGTTATCAGTGGCAGATAGGGATGCTGTTTGTAGCCTTTGGCAGGTCCCCATAGGTGAATCACAGCAGAGATCTCTAGGAGTTTGGAGCAAGGCCCTGCCATCATCTTCTGCAGATAACTACTCTCCTTTTGAGAGACAGCTCTTGGCCTGTTACTGGGCTTTGGTGGAAACTGAACGTTTGACTGTGGGTCATCAAGTCACCATGCAACCTGAATGCCTCTCATGAACTGGGTGCTTTCTGACCCATCTAGTCATAAAGCGGGATGTGCACAGCAGCATTCCATCATCAAATGAAAGTGGCATGTATGTGACTGGGCTTGAGCAGGTCCTGAGGGCACAAGTAAGTTACATGAGGAAGTGGCTCAAATGCTCATGGTCCCCACTCCTGCCACCCTGCCTTCTCTCCGCTAGCCTCATGGGGAGTTCCCTATGATGAGTTCACAGAGGAAGAGAAGACTAGGGCCTGGTTCACAGATGGTTCTGTGGGATATGCAAGCACCCAAAACTGGACAGCTGCAGCACTACAGACCCTTTCTAGGACATCCCTGAAGGACAGTGGTGAAGGGAAATCTTCCCAGTGGGCGGAACTTTGAGCAGCGCACCTCATTGTGCACTTTGCGTGGAAGGAGAAATGGCCAGATGTGTGATAATATACTGATTCAAGGACTGTAGCCAATGGTTTGGCTGGATGGTCAGGGACTTGGAAGAAGCATGATTGGAAAATTGGTGACGAAGAAATTTGGGGAAGAGTTATGTGGATGGACCTCTCTAAGTGGTCAAAAACTGTGAACATATTTGTGTCTCATGTGGGTGCTCAACAAAGGGTGACCTCAGCAGCGGGGGATTTTAATAAAGTGGAGAGAATGACTCGTTCTATGAACACCACTCAGCCTCTTTCCCCATCCACGCCTGTAAACACCCAATGGGCCCATGAAAAAGTGGCCTTGGTGGCAGGGGTGGAGTTACACATTGGGCGCAGCAACATAGACTTCCACTCACCAAAGCTACAGCCACTGCTGAGTGGCCAATTTGCCAGCAGCAGAGACCAACATTGAGTCCTCAGTGTGGCACCGTTCCTCAGGGTGATCAGCCAGCTACTTGGTGGCAGGTTGATTATACTGGACCTCT